ATATATACCAAAAAAAAAAAAAAAATATATGGCAAGTCTACAGTATATATATAGATAGACTTTATAATAAACTTTGGTGAAGAGGTGTGGTTGTTGAGTCCTTTAAAATGTGAGTTTCCTTGCTCTTACAGTAAGTCTGTACGGGTGCCGAACTAGTACCGCTCGCCTGCCACAGCTGACGCTTGCCGCTGAGTACCACAGAGAGTACCGCTGAAGTGCCACAGACTGCCGCTGAGTGCCACAGAGAGTGCCGCTGAGTACCACAGAGAGTGCCGCTGAAGTGCCACAGACAGCCGCTGAGTGCCACAGAGAGTGCCGCTGAGTGCCACAGAGGTGCCAGTGCCACAAGAAGGATCTCGCTGTCTCTCCAAACAGCTCAAACTCTGTGCAGATGAGCTGTGAGGATGTAAGAGTGGAAAGTAGGAGGAGCCATCTTCTCGAGATTTTACTTTAAAGTGTTTTACTCTTGCGCGCAGTACAGCAACAATGACACACTCTCGCAAATGCTCGAATAAGACAACCTTCTGGGATATACATATTTCAAAATGTGTGTTGTGTCCTCGAAAGCCAGGTAAGTCATTATTATTATTTTCTATTCCATCCTATTTTATTGTACTGTATTCTGTTATATTGTTGCTGTTAACAAAACAGGGTACGAAGTCGCCACTAACTGTGGCCTTGATGACGACGGAGGGCAACACGAACCCTCCTTCATCAAGTGCAAAGCCGATACTTTTAATGATGGCAGCGGCGCTCATTGTCAACCTTGTGCGCCATGTCCGCACGGGTCTAACATCTCGACCCCGTGCAGGACAACTTCTAACACCAAGTGCCAAGCCGCAGGGTAAGAAGGCATGTTCATTGTCCTGGAAAAATGTTGAACTGCAGCCGTCGATATGTCAGGAAAACAAGGCCAAATAAAGTAAATATTTATTTTGCAATCCATAGTCTAGTCTACGGCAAGGTTATGTGGGAAATATCATACTGGCCAAATCATGACACGTTACCTTACCACTGTGGAACAGACTAGAATGACGTTTTATTGCTGTTTTTACCAAGTAAAGACTTTGCTATGCAATGTAAAAGTGTGTTCAGTTTCGATATTCACTGAATTTCTACAGAAGCGGGGCGACTGGAGTTCCTGTCCCAGTGAGTAGGCTGGTCGTAAGAATTTATTTATTTATTATTTATATACTTGAACAGGCGTACATGATCACCGTTTTCTCTCTCCGCAGGAACCAACAACATCGCATTATGATTCAAGTTTATTCAGCACAACGGTAACGCACTTAACTATTGTCAGTTATCTTTCACTGGCTACGGAATGTACACCAATTACTTGTGTGCGGATGATACTGATCTGCTAACGTGTACAATTTCCGTGACTTCATTTAGTTAGAATTTGTTAAGTTATCGACAAGTTTATAACAGTATAAAATAATTTATTTTTAAATAATATAAACATAATTCTAAGCACTTTAAAAAATAAATAATACATTTCAGATTCAGACAAACCAAGGATCCAGCTTTAAACCACGTGCAGCGACTATACGACCAGTTCCATTTGGTCATGATGTAGGCCCACTATGTGAGTTAAATAAACACTATGTTATGGGACAATAACACATTTCTTCATAGTCTAAATTTTACCTGGACTTTTTATTTTTTTGCAGGGGCAATACCATTTGCCATCCTCATTTCCATCATGCTTGTTGTGATATGTGCTTGTCTGATCTACATGAAGCGGAGAAGAGGTTTGCTTATATTTAAAGTTAAGGTTTTACACACACAGAAAAATGAGCATAAAAGTGGAAAAGAAAGCCCTCTGTGGACATGACTCAGACTGGGAAACTTCACAAAAAGTGACCACTTTCTTTAGATGTTTTATTATTTCCTGGAATGTAATTATACCGGGCTGGTTCTGGCATTGATCATGTGTGTCTCTCATGCTTGGGTTAACACAGGTCAGCACACGGCGCTGAGTTATCGCAGAAGATCTTCGTACATAAACGCAGGGTTCTCTCCGCTGTCTGCTCCACCTGGCAACAATGATCTGGAGCACATTCTGAGTAAGTGGGAATGATACTGCTCTTGCTAAATGTACTGTGTAAACAGTAGGACATGTTTGAGTCAGTCTGTGACAAAGGTATCAGTCATGTTAGGTGGAGTTTTATAAATCCTTGTTCATGCATCATGATCTGCTGGAACAGCAGTAACAATGAGAATGGCCCAGACTGAACAGCAGCCAGTCTACATTATTATTGGACCAATTGTCACACTGAGCTCTAATAACACAACTTTAACTAAACCCAGTGCAATGACTTGGCAAAAGAATACATTTGACACCGTAGAACTTTCCTCTGTAGGTCCAGACATCCTGTCAGCACCTTTACAGACGGTGCTCGACAAACTGGACGTCTTGGAGGAGCTGGTGATTTTGTTGGATCCAGAAAACCAAGGAGTAAAGAACACCAAACATCTGGCGTCTCATTGCTCCTTCCCCGCCACCTGGATTACTTACACCTACTCTATGAAGGAGAGTAAGAGCCCTCTGAAAGCAGTGTTGGAGGGGGTCACCAGCAGGCAACCCGACTGGACAGTAGGGCACCTGGCTAGGCTGCTCAAACATATGGAGCGCAACGACGCCATCGCTGTTCTCGCCAAACTGGGACTGAATGTGATGCAAGTGTAACACGCATTCCACCTTCGACTGCCAAAAGCCTTTCACTTCAGGTTTAGATGCAGATGTTGGCCTTTCTCTGATCATTTCTGTCAGATTTATAAAGAAATGATGAAAAGGAGGCTTCCAGAACCGATCAGTATTAATACAAAGGAAATGTACAGGGCGAGTAGTTCAATGCAGAGGAGAAATGTTCTTTTAAGGGGTAAATATAATGAACCGTATAGTAAACAGGGAGTGATTTCAGACACAGCCATGGACATGTATCAGACAGAAAGATATTATCAAGTTGCATTATGGGAAGCTTGGGATCAAATGTTCTTGGGGCTTGACACTTACCAGAGAATAAAAGTCAGGACGCCTCAGCTGCTTTAATTTAGACTATTCTTTTCTTAGTTTGGAAATGTGCAATACTAAATGAACACAAAAAAGGATTAAACCAGCAGTTACTCTGCATTGCCTCTATGGGCAACAGTTAAGATTGGCTGCCAGCACAATGCTTATTTGTACCTTCAAGTACCTGCATGAGTGCACATATTGAGCTGATAGAATGTTCTCATATGCCTGCATTGAACCACTTTTAAATCATCTTATTACATTTATGCACATAATAAGTATAAGTATTTGCGTGACAATTGTTTTTTTTGTTCATGAGCATGAAAATGAAACCAGTCATGTGATGATGTGATGTGATGCATGAGTCAATAACCACATTAGCTTTCAGGCAGCAGCCGAATACTCTGTTACATTCCAGGAAAAGCTTTTGTCACCAGTGATTCCTTTTTCTACTTTCACCTTTTACAATAAAAAAATGGAATTTGCTCAAACATCTTAACATCTTTATTAAGCAAATAACATTATAAATAAAAAAAGTGCATAGAAAAATTAAACAGGATTAGAAATATGTATACAAATATTTACAAACCCAGGGTTTATTTGTACATGGTAACAAAGACGTAAATTTAAAGATCACATATTTTGTCATTTGTATGTCTTTTACACTTACTTTAAAATAACCCTACTATATATCTATATATATATATTTTTATATATATATGTGTGTATATATAACATACAGCTTTCTTAACAGATTCTGGGAGAGATGGTCATGATAACTTCAGGTTTTGACTAGTGCTTTCATCCTTCATTGCAAACACACACACACACACACACACACACACACACACGACACAAACAGACGCATTTGCACTCACTCACTCACCAGCTCTGCAGGACATTAAAACCAAGCTACTCTAAAATTATCATCCTCTCTTTTTGCATCAGTATTCCCAAACATCTGCGTAAACAGCTGAGGTAGAATCCTTGCAAGGAGTTGGGAGTGACTCTGCTCTTGTTGTCAGCTAGGTGATTGACACAAGTAAATCTGGGCTCCATCCCAGTGATTGGACATGCAAGAAAGAAAGGTGGTTAAGATCAACACAAAAACATGGTGGAAATTTGCTCCAAGAAGGGTGAGGAGGAAGAAGAGAAGAGGGTGGGTGGGGGGGGGGGATGATCATGGCCTTGGGGAGGCAAACAGTGCTCACTTTACTCCTGTGGCTGATTCTAAGACCGTCGGTAATCTATCGTTACAAAACAAAAACAAATTAAAAGGATTCTTTAAAAATACCTGCTTTAGATCAACTTCTGTCACAAAGGCTGAAATGCACGACACGACCGCCCCGAAAGAAAATTCAAGTAACTTAGTGAAACAAAGGACATCAGCTGTAAACGGAACAAAAAGATACAAATGGGGGAGATCTCCTTATAAACTGGACCGTCACCGTTTTTTTTTTGTTTGTTTGTTTTTTTACAAAGCACAACCTTTCACCATTAAAAATATAAATCAAAACACGAATAAATAGAACTACCAATTTGAACAGTGTGTGAATTAGATTAGTCTCATCAATGACGGCACTGAACATCGACTAAGAACAATTGAACATTATTTCAAAAAGGTACCGAGAGTTTTCTCAGCTCCGTCTCAGACTAGAGAGTCTGTGCGCCATGTTCTCAACAAGCTTGGTGCCAGAGCTGAACATCCACTCAGTGTCGATGCTTTATACCAGTGCTCTCCCTGATTAACAGATAAACTGTAGCAGGTTCCACAAGGATGAAAATTATTTGTACGCTTTGATGGTTGTTCTATGTGCAACTGTAGGGCAGCAACGTCTTATTGCAATAGGTAATGAGCATCTGGCATGACAGTAGTAAAATATATATTTAAAAAAATGTGATATTCACCACAACTCTTCACTTTTGGCTTGGGTAGTGTTTGCTACATACACTGTACATTGAGAGAAAAACACGCCTTAAAGACACGTTCCTGTCTTTATAAATATGACACTATGTTACCAACTGCTGTCTATTTTGAAATCGACAGGATACGAGCAGGTGACGGATATCACACCGATGATTTAAAGTGTGAAACTCAGCAGACACTTTACGTTCCGATAAGAGTGCTGCTTAAGTGCATACATGTAAGAGTAATGGTCTCAGCAGGGTGAATACACAGCTAAACAATTCCTGATTTGAGGGACATTTTTGTCCAACTGAAGAAGTTAAAGACCTTTCAAAGCTTAGCACCATGGTTGTTTTGTTATTCCCGGAAAAAAAAAAAGAAAAAAAAGAAGTCTAAAACAAAAAAATATTAACAACGTGAAAAGTGTTAAATGTGAGATAAAACACAAATAAAAGGTTTGAGTAAATGTATGGCTCAAGAACGGACTTCACCACTGGAGGATGGAGCAAACATGATTACAAGTGTAATAGAGACAGACATAAACCCCCCCCCCCCCCCCCCAGAAATGAATAAAGCATATAGGGAATCTCTCAAAACCTAGCAATAGGTTTTCAGCAATGACTCAAACAGATAAGGCTTGACGTGTGTATTAAAGAAACTCTATTGGTGTCATCCATACCGACCCAGGAACCCCATACATCTTTAACATCCTGTTTAAATGTTCTGTTGTCCTGAACACTAAAACCATGTTTACTGCTGTTGTGATGCTGCCGTGTCAGCTGTACATCGGAACTCTTTCACAGACGAAGGACAAACTTTCTCTGCAGGTTCTCCACTTTTTCTTCTTCCAATATCCATAAAAAAACATCCAAATATCACTTCTGACCAGCAAAAATATTTCAGACTGGTCTCTTAGTGGCTAATTCCCCTTCTGTGCCGCCTCCCCAATCCACCTTAATTTAAGGCTTACTAGTAAAACAGGATCCTCCCGTTTTCATACGAGGGACGTCTCAGTTGAGGAACCGCCGACATCGCCGGGCCCCACAGTTGCAGTTGAGTTTGCTGCTGGCGTCTTCGATGGGGAACTTGTAGTCGTAGGTGAGCTCCTCCCCTCTGTAGATCTTCCGGAGAGCAAAGATGACGATGTGCTTCCGGCCTTCCACGTTGATCACCCGAGAGTAGCAGTTAGGTTCACAGGAGTGGTTGATGAACCTCGCCGCGTTGCCGTGCATGGTCGCATCCACCACATCGAAGTCGTCAATGCGGAACATGTAACAGCCAATACCCTGCGAAGGCAAAAACATGTAAATCCTATCGATGCACGCGCTAACCTTTAATCCTCAATTATTGTTGCCTACATTCGAATGAAACTGATCGAAGACATAGAAACGCGACCAACCTTGCCGTCGTAGTACTTCTCCCTTTTGTCAGTGAGCACCGAGCGAATGACGATGCCGGCATATTCAATCACCATCTCCCCTGCTTCAATGTTCCTCTTGCAGAAAAGACCACGGCCGTGGATAGCAGACCTGCAACACACCCACAGATGTAAGACAAGTTTGTTTGCTGCTACGCCAACAGTGAGGATGTGACAGCTGAGTCATGCAGTCTGCTAACATGGATATTAGATAAATACAGTAAAAAATAGTTATAATTTAATTTGTCCAATACTAGGTTTATCACCGGATTGGCATGCTAAACTGTGATGGCGATTATAGCAAATATTGTCTGCTGAACGTCAACATTTTCAACAGGACCATGTTGGCGTAATGACTTGAGCTTAAAGGACCACTGGATGCAAGTAAAGCCAAACAGAACAGCAGACATGGCCGAGTCTAAAGTTTTGTTTTAGTATATTGTTTGTTCTCCCTTCCTCTTATACTCGCTCCCATAAAACCCAGCTGTGCAGCAACTGTGGTTGACAGAGGCCAGAGGCTTCGCACAGATCATCCGTTTTTATTTTTTCACCATTTCGCCCACTAATGTTACCCAGTCTTCCACACATACACAACACATTTGGAAACCCCCCAGAACTTTAGTCAGAAATTCTTGGGAGGAGTTGCACATTTGACATGAACTGCCGTAGATCTTGAATACACTCCAGTTGCCTTTCAATTTAGTGGTCCTATGCAGAGTGATCCTACTTCCCCTGTAGATGGCACTAACGCTCCATTACATATTGAAATGGCCTTCACTCATTGGCCATTAGTTTGTCTCAGTTAAAATCCTTAATATTCCCAGAAAGGATTTGGGTAGTCTCCGAAAACTATGGTCCTTATCAGCATGACTATTGTCATGTGCTATTTGATGCTGATCTAGACATTTTCTGAACATTTCATCAGACCAGTTATTTTCTCCTGTTATGATTTTTAGTGCGTTTCTTTTATACATGTATTTAGAATACAAAGTGAGAAACATTCTTGTTCTTCGGTTTTAAAAATGTGAAATTCATGCATATTACATGTATGTTGACAGGGATGCATTATTGTATGATTTACTGACGGTTTGTACCCAAATTTGATTTAAATTTGACCCTAAACATTATAAATGATGATGATGTCAACATCTTGTTGGAGTCACTTTGGGTTCTACCTTCACAAGGAGTTTGAAATGAAAAAAGTGCTTTTTGCATTGCATTGAATTCAGATTATTTTGAAAGTGTAGTTCTGTGCTGACCTGTACACGCCTACGGCCTCCTTGGATGTCCTTTCCAGATGTCTGAAGCGCATGGCCATGGGCAACTCCAAACTAGTAGCCCGTCTGAGGAAGAGAAAGACCACAACTCAACAAAAACTTCCAGACATTTTCTGTTTTACGAAATTGTCTGAATGGCCTTAACATGTAGGAAACACGGGACCACATCTAAAAGGATACCATTCAAGTTTGAATTGTAAATTGCAGAAGAAATAAGGCAAAAGTAAAATGTAAACTGAGCAAAACTTTGGAGAGAAGCCTCTTTTTTTCCTTTTGTTGTGAAACAGCAAGGTTGTTAGTACATTTTACCAGAGGAAAAATATACAACAAAATGAATGAAGCCTGACCTCGTGGACTTCAAAAGAACCTCATCTTCCTCATCGTCATAAGGCCCAATGTCAGGAAGCTGTCTATGCTGAGAAGCCAGGAAGTTAAACATGTCAAATGTGGACTTCCTGTTGAGAGACAAGAGAAAACAATACCAGGTGGAGATGAGTATGGACTCAAACACAACAAGTCAAATACTTTAAGACATGACTTTATTTTTGATCCGTTGTAATGCTACACCACCTACATTTATTGAAAAGGACTTGACAATAGGTCCAATAAAGACACAAACGCAGCACTGATCTGTAACCGATGTGACCTGTAATTGGTAGACATACCTCAGATACAGCTCGGAGCGAGCACAACCGGTGGGGTTGACGGGGAGGTCGTCCTCCTGCGTGAACTGTTTGAAGAAGCGGAAGGCGTGGCGTTGACAGCGGTGGGCTCCTTGCAGTTGCTCCAGCAAGAACACCACTGCATCATGGACCAGACCCAGCATGTGGGCGCCAGTGATCCTCTGAAAGGTCAGAGGTCTCAACCTTGCAATAGCTCGTGCCTCCTGCACCCCATCGATCACTGCTTTCCACGCCACTGCAAAGAGAGTTTAGAAGTAGGCGTCATGAAGTGAACACAATGAGCAAAAATGGCGACAGAAATATCACACAGAGAAACTTGTTTTTACGATTTTGAGAACATGCTTGATCATTTAAAGGCCTTTGAGGGAAATATTGCTGATGCAACATCAGCCTTACCCTCGATACTGTCTGCCTCTGCCCTGAAACCGTCGTCGCTGGTTATCTCAAATGTTAAGTGCGGCTGGTCTCTGTTAGTTGGAAACTCCTCATCCTCGCCAGACAGCGGTGGTTCATCATCTGAGGTAGAAGCAGCGCCTAAAAATGACACATTTATACAGTCAGTCTTTCACACTATTTTAACAAAGTGCCATGTATTAGTTAGTGTCACACTGTAAGTGGCAGACGTTGTTGAACTAAGGAATTATTTTGGAACTCCCAGAACTCATTAAATGGAGCAGTTAAAACGCATGAATACCAGAGTATTTCTTCCAGTCAGTCAGGGTGCTGTGTCCCACTGGTTCCCACGCATGCTGTTTGCCTTGTTCGCCCTGAGACGCATAATCCCACGGCTCTGATCTGAGAAAAATGAGAGTACAAATGTTTACACACAAAACAGTAATCAAATGCACTCAATGGAATACAGTCTTCCGGTGTAATTTACTGTTATCGGGTGCAAAAAGCGAAACATTTGCTGGTTAGTTGCAGCCCTTTTTAAAAAGGCGAGAAAAATCTTACCCTGAGCTTTCAATATCACTTATATGCTCCTCCTTCAACTGGTCCAGGTTCAGTACTCCCTTCACTGTCGGGGTTTTGATGCGGACTCCAGAAGCTCTGCTGGAGATGCTCGGAAAGGTTGGTCTGCGCTGCTCCTCGTCCTCACTGGGGGGTTCTGGTTTTAAGAAGTCCACTTTAGACTTCTTTGTGACGATACGGTCTGAAAGCGAAGACACTCTCTTCATGCGGACATGGGTGCGAGGTCGGGGTGCTGGAGCTGGTGTTGGCGTTACTGAGGGAGAGCGAGGACACAATGGAGGCTCCGGTTCAATGAGTAGGCCCGGTGGTAAAACCAGAGAGGAAGGGCTCAGTGTTCGAAGCCCACTCCACTTGGGGGTGTAGTTACTCGCCATTGCTTGATTGATAATGGCTTGGGCGCTTTCAGCAGGAGTCATGGGAGGATTCTCAGATGGCGGTGCAGGCTGAGGCTCCGACACCTTGGATGACTTGGATTTCCTGGACGCACTAGAATCCTTCTTCTTCTTTGTTTTTTTCAACTCTGGAGCGGTTTCATGTTTTGGTGTTTTGGCACTCTTCCTTGGCTTCTTAACATCAACCGACGCCACTGTACCGTTGCTATTGTGAGTAAGCAGCTGTGTGATTGTGGTTGGATTCTGAACCAGGGGCGGAGGAACTGCTGTTGCAACACTGGCCCCAGGGGGTGGAGCTGTCATATTACCAGCTGCTGCTAGCGTGGCCGACAGAGCGTTGCTTTGCAAAAGGCTGGCGATCTGAGTGACACAGTTGTAGGAGGAGGAGCTGGGAGTGGGAAGCTGAAAAGTGTTGCTTTCGGGGTTCTTCACGAAGATCTGCCCGAGGCGGTTCACCAGCAGGACGTGTGGTGTAGGATCTACATTGGGACCTCCCACCTCCTTCACAGTAAGAATAGCGTGTCCAGGTAAAGCCTGGGGAACCACTGGCTGCTGAGGTTCTAAAGCCGGCCTGGTTGTGGAGAAGTTGATGGAGATCGTGTGGCCCGATGGAGCTTCCTTCTGAACAGATGAAGAGCTGTAACCATTTAGGATGACAGGGGCCGAGGTGGTTTGGACCGACGTTGGAGCTGTTGAACATTGTGTTGAAAGCACAGAAAGAGACGATATTGCCGCAGAAGAAGAAACAATGGTGACAGCTGCGGAGCATAATGGCTGTGTGGAGTAGATGGGCAAAGAGACGGTCCCACATGTTCCTGTGCCTGACAAAGCTGATAGCACTGGATCGTTTTGAGGGGTAAGGTTCGCCATCGTTTGTGTCACGTCTACAACAGGACTGACGGTGGTTCGTTTAGCAGACAAGGGGCCCATGGATGGGAAGGTTAACTCTTGTGAGGATGTTACTGGCTGAAGTGTAATACTTGTTAGAGGAGGTTTACTGAAACCTGGTAAACAGGAATACATCTGCAGAGAGTCTACGAGGCCTTGAGAGGGGTTCTGTACGTCTGTAGAAATGACAGGGGAGGGCTGAAGAAGGCCCAGCAGGGTGCCATGACTGTTATCAGCAGAATCTGCTAATGATGGTTCCACAGTATTAGCTGTTGAGTGGTTCATCAACACAGTAGAGTGGCTGCTGTCATACTCTGAGCTCAGGGGTTTACGAGCTTCAGATTGTTGGATCTCAAGCGGTGAGCCTTCCAGCAAAGGAACCAGATTTGGACTCTGGAATAAAACCTCTGAGTTTTTGGAAATTTGTGGAGAAACAAATCCCATGTTGTCCTCGTTTGAATGGCTGGCATCGTGGGATTTAGGTGGATCTTGACGTGAACCGCCTGTAGGACTTTTGCTGGCAACTGCGATGGTGACTGATGAAGAATCCGTGTGCTTATCATTGGACGATGCTTTGGGGAAGAGACTCTGAACACCCTGTGTGCTGTTCGATTCAGCGGCATTTTTATTTTTGAGGGTTTTGGCTTGTATCTGAGCTTGACTACAACCCTCAACTTTCTGAGCATCGTCGTTGGTCGCTATGCTTGCATCACTCTCTGTACCGTCGTCTACACCATCGAGCTGAGCCATAGGACGGGAGGAAGGGGAGGAGGGAGATTTGGAATGATCTTTTGATCCGGGACAGCTGACTATTGTCCGCGAGAAGTCAAAATAGTGCTCCATATCATCATCAGAAGAGGTGTTGCTTAAGTCATCCCTGGCTGAAGCTGCTGACCGCGGCAGGTTGGCAACTAGAGTCTTCCTCTTGTGAACCTCTTGGGTTCTTTCCCAAAATTCCTCCCGATCATCACCGTCCACCACGATTTGTCCCCCACAGTTCATTGCCACGCCTTCATTCAGGAGTGTCTCCTCAATCTCCAGTTCTGTCCTCATCTCTTGGGCCAGACTCGCGTTGGAATCCTTGTGGAATGAACTGTAGGGAAATTCTCCTTCATCCTTCTGTTGGTCTAAATCTCCCTGTGGTGATGTACCGTTTGCTGGAGAGACATCTTCAGGTTCCGGTGAAGCTAAGAAGTTGTGTGGCACCTCGACTGAGTCCGACTGGTTTAGATCAAATGACAAGCGATTCCTGGGAAGGTGTGGTATGGTTGGAGAGAAGGACAGACTTGGTGAGGGAAAGCCTGCTGCACTGTCCTGCCAGGGTGGCTGAGGAAAGAACGATGAGGTACAATGGGTCATCGTATTCCCAGGGCATCGGACTGAGGAGGCACTTCTACCTCCGACTGAGCGGGATGATGGAGAATTGATCAGGTTGTCTGGAGCGCCAAGTGGGAGCAGCGGGGAAGTGGGAAGGGAAGACTTTCCAGCACGGAGAGTAATTGGTCCAGTCAGAGGACCCAGAGGAGGGGGGGGGCATGTGACCGTGGAGGCCTGTTGTCTGGAAGTGTGGGCTGTGGCGAAGAACCCTTTGCGTATCCTCCAGATCACTTATGGTTAATATGTGGTGGGGTTTCAACTGCTTTACTCCTGAGAAGAAATCAGAATTGAGACGTGTTTTTTGATTGGATCAACATATTTGTTGTTAGTGTACTTATAAATAAATGTATACTTTACCTGGGGATGGCAGGGGTCGGGACATTCCTCCAGCTGGCCTCCTGGGAATCTTTGGCCTTGCACCGTGATCTGACTTGGGGGTAGGTCCTGGGATAAAGGTTTCCTCCGTTGGGGGTTGAGATTCTGTTATATCATTCTCCTGAGCTTCAGATTCTGAAGATGAATTGGAAAAAATGGTTTATGAAACTATCTAGTACTATTTGTCTAAAGAACTGCAGTTTTTCAGTCGTAAAATACGCACCAGATAGTGGACAGGGACTGTGAGCAATTGTGTTATTGTCTCCTCGGTCGGGCATCTCCTCAACAGGCTTCTCAAGGACAACCGGCCGAACCTCCCGCACTTTACATGTATATTTGCACTGCCGCAATGGATTAACTGTACTCCAGTACCAACGAGAACACCTTAAGAAGGAAGAAGAACATTTTAAAAGTGCTTTTTTATTCTATGTTACATAAGATTTAATTATATAATACAATTTAAAAAGAATAAAATGCAACTTACTGAAAACCCACAGGAAACAGTTTTCCTTTGCTAGCCGAAAGTTCTGTCAGCACACCGAGTTGGTCTATCTGTAATGAACCTGCATAGTGACAATGTGAATACCGATTAGTTAAAGATAAGTCATAACAAATGTCACAAAGTGAAAAGGAAACCAGCTAAAAGATAGGCGCTTACCAATAATCACGTTGATTAATTCTGGTTCCAGTCCAGTCAAGAATTTTCTGCGGGGGCTGATCCCCTCAAAATCCACATATACCCTGCGGTTAACTTCAAATTCCTGACCAGTTATCATCTGCGAAACAAAAGGAAAACAAGTGATAATGCAACCCGGAATCAAACTCAGAACCTTTAGACTGATACAGTCAGAGACTGCTGCTGGAAGAGCTGGAAGAGAAGAACCTACCTTGTCAATGATGAGATGTCGGTGTTTGTAGCAATAGACCTTTTTATCCTCCTGGAACACACAGTGTCGGGAGCGGGCGCACATGAAGTGATAGTTGCTTTGACAAGATGTCAGACAACAGCCCACTGTGGCACCCGTCTGGTTGCAGCGTTCACATCGCTAAGAGGAAAGATGTAAGTAAGAAGTCTTAATTATCAATATCTATTTACGAGTTTACAAGTCATCAAACTCAGATTCCTAGTAATATTGTGTAGGAATGCACATTATTGACCCAGCAGGTAAATTAATTTATGAGGTAAATGAACAACCAACCATCAAGCGGCCCCTTGTGGCAGCACTGTGTACATGCAGCAGAGAGCCATTGTCCTCTTCAAACACCTCAGCTGACCACAGACAGCAGTTGACATGTGCCCACTCATTCTGGCCCAAGTACAGCAACCGGCCTGCGTCCTATTGAACAAAAAAAAACCCACCACACTTGAGTAAGCAAAACAATGCTGTCTGTACAGTTTACTCGCCAAGTTGGGTATTAACAACGTACTATGTACTTTTCATTTTCATGTTTGATGCATTACTTACATTCGGTTTGAGGTCTCCATATTTTTGGCACAAAGAGCACTGTCTCTCGTCATCCTTAGACCAGCCCGTGTCTAAATCAGTTTTTGAAAGTCGGCCCCTTTTCCCTATAAAAATGTACAAAAGTTAAGACATAGGAGGCCAAACAACGCACAAAATAAAAATAAATAAATGAGAAGCCAATTCTATTTCCAGCCCTCCACGATCGACAGCATTACCTTTGAATTTGAGCCTGACAGCCCTGCTGGTTTTGAAGTAGTTCTGGCTTATTGGCTCCCCAGACAACGGAGAAACTGCTTCTTCCTCCTTTACAATTAAGCTTTGTCCATTGTCGTCCTGCAGGAGCCCCAGCGGAGCACGAGATGAGAGCTCCTCCCTCTCCTGCCACTGGGCGTAAACATGCTCCGTTGTGGGAGGATGAACAGCTTGGGACAGCATCCCCCTATTTAACAAAGAACATTTATTTTCATCAGCCATGCTTGTGACTTTTATATATGTGTATAAGCACTTCATATCATGATGAAGGGACTATATCCAAAAAGTACTCTTTTAAAACCTATTATTATCATAATTATTTTCAGTAAACCAATACTCACATGGGTAAGTCTTTGGTACAAGAGTTCCACACCTTTGGGTCTTGGCTGTTGAACCAATTAAACACTTCCTCGAGGAGCTAAAGACAAAAATCATATCAGTTATTCATAAATGCTAACGTAGCTGCATTTTTAAAGCTATTACAAAGCTTCCCGTTGCAGTCTCTCGCACTCGTATCCCAAAATAACCAATATGTTGACAAACAACGTCTTTTTTTGGTCATACCGCACCTTTAAGTAGTAAGAGCGTGCCAGGGCGGTAGGTCTCTGCTCTTCTGGAAGATTCTCCTCTTGCTCAAGCCTCTTTCTCACAACCTGAACCACATCTTCATGGAACATTTTCTATAAAAAACAAACATATTTTAGTATCCACTAAGCTGCACTTCTGTCATATTTCCAAGCATATTGGCATTTTTGGTCTTAAAAGTATCTCTCAATTCTTACTGAAATTTAGAATGTAATATCCATAAAGCCCAATACAATTAAGACCATTTTTTTTCCACTTCATTAAAGTACTCAAGTGTAGAAACAGAGTAAGAGGTTGTGTACTCACCAAAGTAGTATAAAGGCCTTTGTCAAACTTCTTGCCAACAGCTCGGAGATCACACGCCGGCTGTCCTTCTATTCCGCTGTCAGGATCAACCAACTTCTCACACTGCAGGAGAAACAAAAGCATATTTGACACACTGTATTCCACAGGTTTCACTACCGACTGTCATGTAACATTTGATTCATAAAAAAAGAAAGCCTAGTCTCCTACCTGTGAGCAGGCAACAAGGTGCTGGGTAAGGGTGGAGGAGAGCAAGCAGGCTAGCACCTTTTCCACCCCGGACCTGAGCTCAATGTAGAGCAGCTCTCTCCAAGCACTGGGCTGGGTCACACTGCATGGCCGACATGAATACACGACACTCTCTGGCAAGCTGGACAGGATCTCGTACAGCTCATCTTAAAGGATTTTACAGGAGACAGGAATGGAGCAGTGGAGGTTTAGCAAAATGCATTTCCAACCAAATACACGTTCAAATACCTACGGCATTTCTTCACTAGATCATGTGCACCGACTGCATGTGCGGGAAGCAGGGCATTGTATGAACGCTCAGCAAATAATAGATAATGACAAGTAATACAAGTATTATATATCCCCCTTCTTGAGCTGTTTTTCCTGGTGTCCTTTGTTTTGTTATGCTTCACCCGTGCTAATGAGCACAGCCTTGATGCCGTCTCTTCGGGTACTTTCATCCTCAAAAAGATAAAGAATAAAAATCACCTGTTAGATCCTCACACTTGGCGTGTACCCAGTGGTTACAGGTGCCACACTGCATCATCTGACTGTCGTAGTCATTGTCCTCATAGCACTTGAAGCAGATTGGACAGTAGTTACCTTATGAGACAAAGAGACATTCAGAAGAGATTAGCCTCAACATAGATCAGTAATGGTGGTAGATGATGTTGGAGGACAGATCATTCATCAACTCTCTCCTCACCCAGTTCATTGAGTTTTGAACAGTCTGGACAGAGTCCTTTGTCGTGGTTCCAGTCGGTGTCCCAACTCTTCCCCGGTGTGACGCCACAGCTCTTACACCTGATGCATGTCATACAAACCTGTAGAGACACCAGCTTATTAGGACCAGCAATCAATGAAGTCCAACATCAGCATGCTTGTATGAAACATACATAACTTTGTGTTTTCTAAGAACAATGAAACCTACCCAAGCTTTCCTCTTCTTGTTTTGTTTTGGGTAGTTGGGTCCCAGACAGGAAGTATGATAGCAGTTCTGGCATCGTTCACACTCCAACAACGGCTGAGGGAGACAGGAAAATGTAATGCTTCCTGACTGAACGACATTAACACCAAGAAGTAACATATAGCGAAACACGCTAAAATATCAGGCAGTACCTTTGAGGGCTTGTTTTTCCTGCCGCACACGTGGCAGAACTTGCAGCGACGACAGCACCAGTTCTCCTTGTTCTCTTCAGAGGGGCGGTCCGCTGGATCAAGGCAAAACTGGTGGAAGGGCTCACAGCATACTTGGCAATAGAGCATCTGCGATAAGAAATTCACAAAAACTTGTCAGTCGCCAGCTTAACACAAATTACAGAAGAGCAAAGAAACGGATCAACTACTTCTATAAAAACAGAGCAAATGCATGAAGCAGTTACCTCATGTTGCCCTTTACTGGCACAAAGGAAGCACACACATGGTGGCATGGGCGGTGCAGAGGTCAATATACTTAAACCACCCATATTCCAGACGTTGTCCAAAGTACAGTCCTCCTGAAAACAAAGACATCATGCACACAACTCAATTAACAACTGGGAAGACTGCTTACAGTGGCTACCAGCAGAATAATACGTCTCCTGACTCATTTTCTGTAAGTTGTTACTGTGTGGTGACTATGTGAGGAGTGGGTTTACATTTTAAGGTCAGGTGTGAGTTACACATTTAAAATGTTGTTCTGAGGTCATACATCACAGAGCTACGGCACCCACAAATGATGTGTTGTAACAACTGAACATTCATTCATCATTTCAGAAGTGTTTTTTATGTTTCAATACGTTATTTATGGTAAAAAAAAGTCACTTACCTTGAAGTCAACCCTGATTTTATGAGTAGGTTTAGAAGACTCGGTGTCTCTCTGCTCAAAACCATGGGCAAGTGCAGCCAGGACACTGGGGGGAGTCTGCTCCAAAGAACCCTGAGACGAGAGACCCTGAGAGAATATTATAACATGAATGTGGGCAGGAATGGACACACTTAAAGCAAACATGTACTTGCTTTTCACTTAGTATTCTAATGTGCTTTCCCTCAAAACCTTGCGAAACCTGTGCAATAACCCCAACAAATACGATGCCAGGTGTAGTGTTGACCGATGACATAATCCCTGCGATGTTGCGTATGTTGTGACTTGTTTCTTCGAGGCCCGAGCATTGGTGCGGCCATAGAGAGGTTGAAGAAGCTTGTTGTCATTCTCATGAGTGGTACTGTCACCATCTTTTCATGTACTCCTGCAAACTGGATGTCAGTTCTCGAGGACAACCGGTCATTATTGGAATATCCAAAAAGTTATTTTCACGCTGCGGATTTGAATTTTTAAGGTAAGCAAATGTACATGGTGTGATAACCGTCCATTTTCCTACCATGGATTGCTGTGAACCGGTATACCGCTGCAACCGGAGAGCAAATCAAACACAAAGCTGCCACAAATTCAAACGGTGTCGTCCAACCAGGGCACGAGCCAAGCTCAGAGTTACCCACCTTCTCAGGTTTACGTCGAGCCGGTGGTACACGGTGCGAGCTGGACTTTCGATGCCGGACTTCTTCATCTGAAATGTCTCCAAGGAATCCATCCAGTGACACAAAGTCTTTAGAAGGCAGGAAAAACAAAATGTATTATTAAGAGGCACATCAGAAGTCAGAAACATCATGTCGTCTAGTTACTGAGTGTTCACTTTAAGTGAGTGTTAATTCACCTTGACTGAAACGGGATCCTGCACCCCTTCTCCTGGCTGGTGAGGCAGAGCTTGAGACCGCTTTGTCGTCGAGGTCAGAGTCGTAGTCCACCAGGTCAAAGTAGACGCGGGGTTTCACGACACGCTTCGGCTGCTTCCTCACTGACGGACTGTGGCCGTCAGCCTGGAGACCAGACGGTGAATCCGCACCGCCCTCGTTCCCCTCATCATTGCTCGAATGGCCCCCGCTGAGAGAGGACCGCCGTCGCTTAGAGGCACCTTAAAAAACAGAAAGAAAGAGGCGGCTTGTTGCTGACACGCTAAATGTTTTGGAAGTGAACATGAAGCGTGCATGCTCAAGTGAAAAACTACCTTTCGGTGCGGTTCTTCCACTTAGTCGGCGTGCTTTTCTCTCTTCAATCTGATCACATCTCTTATACCTTGTGGTAAGAAAAATATATATATATATTTTCAATTATTTTATTAAACACTGTGATGAGAGTACAGCTAAGAATTAAATACAGGGTCAACTTACACACAACACTGCCGTTTGGTATTGGGACCACCAAACTTGGGTTTGTCGAGGCAGTTCATGCACTCGCCACAGTCGTCCTCGTGGTTGCAGCCTTTGCACACGCCACACCTCCGAGAGCGATACCCAAACGGCCCGAGGCCTTTCCGTTTCGCAAAATTCGACGGCTTCTTGGCCTTGATGAACTTCGGATCGGACAGCTCGGGACTGTCTGATTCAGAGGGAGAACCAATATCTGCAAAAACAATAGGCATTCATCCATTAATCCATTAGTCAGTTAAGTTAAGTACTTCACACTTCAGGATGCGGTGGCAGATAATTTGGTGGCATTCATTTGTGGGTTTCGACTCAGGCACAGTAAATTTGATTTTATCTTTCAAAAATGCTCCGAAAGGATTTTACACAATCAAGCAGAATCACAACTGCCAAACATACATCAAATCCATAGAATAGTAGGATTTATAGGAAGAACGTTGAGGCAATAAGCCAACTATAAATAAAACTATTCAATAATGAATCTGTTAAATAGAGCTACATTTATTGCGTGGTTCTTTCGTTTGCATTCTACAGATAAATGGATAAACATGCTGATTTAGAAACATAAACATGATGGGACATAGAAACCTAAAGAGATGCATTGATCATTAAATATTCAATTTCAATGTATCCGTCTGCTAAGTTTTTTTAATACTCCATCCTTTGCCAGGACGAAGATTTTGAAACTAGTACTATCACATCTCCTGCTGCTGCCGCTATCACATCATCACATTCAAGTCATGAGAAGTTAATGAGCATGTCTTATGAAAGCCAACCAGGAAAGGTCTGTTGGTTTACACCTACCTTTAGGGATGGCTGAAGGGGAAATGCCAGATCTTTCATGCAGAGGCAAGGCACTGAGTCTGGGAATGTCATCTGGTACCAAGGCTCGAGGCTGCCCCAACACCACGGATGCAGCTCGACACACGTGCTTGATACGTGGACCTCCAGCTCTACGGAACTCCTGGCACAGCGGGGAGACGAGCTGCGGCTGGAAAAAATTTAAATATAAAAATTAGATAAGAGATAGAGGCACTGATGTTAAGAGGCTGGAATTGACATCAATTGTTTTCAAATGCAATTGATGTCAATTGCTCATAGATGTGAATAATTACTCATAGATTTGCGTAAAGTATACTGAACAGGGCATGTTTGCAACTATAGCGTACAATTAATGAACAATAAAACTGTAAAACTAGAGACAGAAACAAGAATTGCAGTTGGAGCGGTTTCTGCCTTGGGTCTATTGATTTCTTACACTTACCTGTCCTTGAGCGGGCTCTGTCTTGACTGGAACATCAGCACCAAGCTGAACACTCTGCTTCCTCCTTTGTCTCTTTGAGTTCACATCTCGAGATCTGGCACCAGTCGGGCCGGATAACAGCTGCAGGGTTAACACACAGGAGAAAATAAGGCATCAATAAATACTTCAGAAAGCTTTAAAAAAAAAAAAACACAAAAAGAACAGAATCATTCAAAACCGTGTGGAGGTTTTCCTCATCTATTACAGGTCCTGTTACGTAGACTTTATCTAATGATGAACTTATGTCTACAATGACAGAGATCGTGTACTGTGCAGTGATCATGACCGTACCCCAGAGGACTTCAGCTGTTTCTGCTGGTCAATCTTCATGAGCTGGACCTTGGCTTTCCTGAGGAGATTGAACATTCTCTTATTTGCACCAGTGAGGCGTGCTCTTTGTGAAGCTCCCTTCTCCACGGATCCGAGATAATCGCCCGAGTGCTGTTCTGATTGCAGCTCTCCTGTACAAATAAAGTAATGAAATGGCAATGTGTGGTCCGTTAAGAGTAGCAAATCACATGTTGCATGAAATAATCTGATGCTTTTTAAATCACGGTGCTTACCCGAGTGAAGCTGGGCGCTGTCTCCCCCCGCTAAATCCTCTTTGTCACCAAGCTGAAGTAAGAGGGACTTGGAGTTCATAGTCCGAACACACACAGAGAGTTTTCGCACCACTCCAGGAGAATCCATGTCTTCTATCTTGAGCTTGGATTTGTCCTTCCCTGCGTTCGTGCTGCGCTGCCTGAGGCTGATGCTCATGGCCTCATCGTCGAGTCCCTCGGCTAAATCAACAGGAGGCTGAAGAACTTTACTCGCACTGTCCGTCTCGGTTGTGTTTCTGCTTTTGGGAAGTCCCGTGTGTGCCTTCTTGAGCCTTTGATAAATCTTGAGCTGAGCCGCTTGTTTATTAAACTTCTGGAAACTTTTCTTTCTCGGGGCGTCCAGCACTTCAGTAGATACTTCTGCGGGCTTTTCAAGTGGTGCAGATAAGTACAGATCCTCACATTTGTCCTCTGAAGTTTTGTCCAGTTTGTATACTTCCTCGCTCGGCTCTTCTGGCACATGCCACTTGAAAGAAGAGTTCTTTAGAAGAGACTTCTTCTTCTCAATTTTGCCACTTATTCTGTCAGAAAATAGGCCGTCAGCTATATCGATGTCGTCATCTAGGTCCTGAGATGAAAACAGATCAACGTCCAGCTGAGCTTCACTCAGTATATCCTCGTCGTCGATCGGCAGGATGGGGGATAAAGCTCTGCCCATTTCATCCTCTCGCCTCTTTCCTGGGCGCATTGGCAGGCCCAGCTGTAAACCCTTCTTTGGGGAGTTTCTTCGAGGCAACACCGACATTCCAGCATCATCCATGAACCTTTGCGGCGTCTTTATCACTCGTGAGGATCTGGCACTCACAACGGGCATAATGAAGTGCTTGATGTTTTTCACAAACTTTGATTTACCCGGTTGGGCATCAACAACATCTGCTCGTCTCTCATCGACTAACGTGTCCGTTTCTTCCTGCTTCAAGCTGTCATTAAGCCCCATTTCCATCAGCTGAGAAATTATTCTGGATGGTGGTTTTGGCCTTTTGGACCCCATAAAATGAAGGCCTGACGGTCTTTTTTTGTGTTTTTTGTGAACTCCAACCAGCATAGCGTGTGGGGCTGGTGGTGTATCTTCCACGGGGCTGGAAATGTCACTATCCCCCTCAACCATTTTCTGACTTTCAGAAAATTTAAGTGGAGCGAACTTCCCGTCTCTGCTCCTGTGCCTGTGTTTCTGACGCTGCCCAATCAAAATTTTACGCTTCTTTTTGCCTTTTTTGAGATATCTCGTTTTCAGGCACCGCGGTTTTCGATTACTTGCTGGACTTTCTGCCACCAAAGAATGTTGACTATCTATTAACTGAATGTCGGTTTCCTCTTTTACCGATATCAATATCGGATTTTCTTCCACTGACACGGTGTCCTGTTTCGCCTCAAGCTGGGTACAATCTTTTGTTTCTGGCGGACTTACTTCCGTTACGACAACAGACTCTGTGATAGTAGCTTCAACAGTAGCCACCTCTGGGGGGCTGACAGCTGGTTCAGGTGAGACAACAGCCTTCTTGCTTTGAACAGATCTCTTTTTCCTTACTTTATTATTTCTACATCTTCTAGGTTTGGAAGGCACAGGCAATGGTCTGGCCTCTTCGATCTGTGGTTCTACTTCATTCTCCACCTTCTGCGGAGAAACTTCAATTGGCACGTGTGAGGGATCGTCGGCCATTTTTGAGGAATCCTCATCAGGAACTTCAGTGGAGTTTGCATTGGTCGCCTGTGAGAGGTCCACAGCCAAATCCTGAAGGGCATTTTTAGGAAGACCGTGTGAGCTGGAATCTTCAGTTGAAGCCTGAGAAGCGTCTTCGACGGGCTCCTGCGGCGTATCTTTATCCGGTGAACTCATTCGGAGTCTCCGTTTCTGTGTGGTCACTGGCTTATGATCGATAGACTTCGTTTGAGGTGAATCAACGCTCGGTGTCCTCCGCCTTAGTCTCCTAGTTGGTGGGACTAGAGCATCCAGACACGAGGATTTGTCCTCATTCACTTCACTCAGATCTTTCACAACCTCCTCCGTATTTTCAGACACAGGGCTAACTTGCTGAATCAAAAAGGATGGCTTTGAGCTTTTACATTTCCCAGGTGAGGAGACCTTTTTGATCTGAAGAGGTGGAACTTTCCCGCAATCCGTTTTAGTAATTTCTTGTGGAAGCGTTTCATTGACGTGTTCCGCGTTAACTTCCACCTGTAAATTGGACTTTTCCTCTAACGACACGTTGGCCTTGTTTTGGGAACCCTTCTCGTCACTGTCCAAGCTTTTACACTCTTGTGGGGCTGAGGTATCCAGTTTAGACTTTTTATCCACCGCCTTCAAACTCTTGTTGACACCGGTGTCACAACACGTGGACTGATCCACTTCACTCACAGTCTTCTCTGTTACTTTGACAGTGTTTTCAGCACCCTGCGTCTGACTTTCTTTTTTCACTAATGTAAAAGACCAGACAAATTTTTTTCTCGGCCTTTTCTTTCGAGTTGAGTTCTTCCCACTGGCCTGTGCATCAAATTTGGGGTTTCTGATCTTCATCAACTTAAAGCTTGGGACCCGCATTTCCTCGTTTTTCAAAAGCAAACTGTCGCTGGACTTTTCCGAAAAGGGATCAGCCTCTGTGGATGATGTACCGTGGTTTTCTGGCCCTGCAGCATCCTTATTCAGCCTCTTGCTTTGCCTTCGCCTGTCACTTCTCACTGATGGTTTGGTCTCCGTTGTTTGAGAAACGTCTGGCTTAGACTCCACCAGAACGGCATCACTGTTACTCAGACTTTCTGGTTCAGCGACACTGTCCGAGACTTTTTTAGTGAGTGGGTTAGTGACTCTATTGCTCCTACGAATGACTTGTTGATTAACCTCAGAACTTTGCTCAGTCACAATATCCTTATGCTTTAATTTCTTTGCATTTGTTTTCGGCTGCACCGTGCCGCTCTCCTTCACAGTGTCAAACTGATCAGGTGATTTTCTCTCTTTTGATTTTTGGTCATCAACCACAACTTTGGCGCTCGTCTGGCAGTCAGGCTCTGTTTTCTTTGAAGCTGATCTCCCACGCCTTCTTGCGGGCACAGTCCCCCCTCCCTTATCTTCAGTGCCGTGTTCATCCTCTTGCGGTTCAGTTTTTAATTTGACGTGAGCACTTGAAATCTGGTCGCCCTGAATGTCCTTGGCTTTAGGCTGATCCTGGATCCCCTTTATCTTCAACTTCTTCGCAGATTTTTTATGAGGCTCCTTTACGGTTTTCATTTTCTTTTTGGCCACCAACTTTATAGTAATCCTTGGTGCTGCTGATGCGGCTCCGCTTTTAGTGGACTGTCGATCCATAGTGTTTTTTCCTTTCGAACCTTTCCTGCCGTCCTTTGCGGGCTCTGCTTCTGGAGATAAGCCGTGTGTTTTCTCCAAAGAATTTACATCCTTCACAGGATCAGGTGGGGTGATATCTGCGTCCACTGCTGGTGTTTTAAGCGGGAGCTTCTCACTTCGTCGTTTAGACTTTGTGTTGACAGCATCACCTACACAACAAAAAAAGATCTTAAATATGACAAAATCCATGGCTCCTGCAGTGTATGCTAAACTGGCATTAGCAACAACCTTGCTTAGATATTGTGTTGCATGCTTACTCTAAACTTGTGTGTTGTTAACAAATTATATTTGTTATAATTGATGGATACGACTTGTTGTCATTTGGTGCAGTAATATACTTGTATTTTCTTCATATTTTTACCTTTGTAAGGGTTTTGTCGCGACCACAGAGGTCCTTTGGAGCCTTTTCTCTCAGCTTCAAACCCTCTGAAGTCATCTCCCTTGAAAAGTAAAAAATAAAATAAAAAATTAACACTTGAAGAAAAGTAACACCACTCTGCTGGAGGCTCCCAAACCATCAGCAAGAACAAGGACTAAAATATTTGAGTGAACAGCATTCATTCTGAAATCTAGAGCATGGCACTAATTGTATCCACATTACTGTAGCTAGAGGAAAAATTCATTATGAAGAATGGATTAATGGCCAACATAATGATTGTATAAATACACCAAACGTAACAATGTATGTCTTAGCATAGTGGACTAAGTGGATGTCAAATCATTAAAAATATATTTGAAACAACCAATAATGTGTTTGACTGTTTGGGGGAACTCCTCCTGAATTTCTCATGGTTCAGCTACATGTAATCCAGAATATTTACAACTTCATGTAAGGTCAGAATTCTACAAGCTTTGCAGGTCACACACTTGAGCAGTTAGCAGAACACCTACAAAAAAAATTGCAGGGAGAGGTTCCCTACAATTACGATTCCCTCCAAAGTACTGTAACGTTACATCTCCCCCATGGCTGCAGCTGTAACCTGAAAGCCTACTAACAGCTCCACTCTTACAGATCAGGATTATACATTAAGGATCAAAGTTTCATGTATAATAGTGGGGAGCTTTCAGTTCCAACAACGGTGCAAATGTCTATGGCACACTTACGCACCACCATTTAAACCTGTCGCGTTTGGTAACATTAGCTAGCAGTTTGCCATCTCCTCCTCTCGGAAGCGTTTAACGCTAACGTTACTCACTGCTGTATACAGAAAAGCTAGCCTAAAAGTAAAACTTAGTTATCGGATTGTTCGCATCACAGTTAACGTTACATTAAGCAATGAAGAGAAGAATTGTGTGTTTGCTTATTTAAACTAGTAAAAGCAACTCCCGTTAGCCGCTGTGCACAGCTAGCCCTCCCGTTCTTTGTGTTCGCTACTGTTAGCTAGCTATTAGCTAACTGCTAACGCCGTGGCCCGAGAACGAGCGGGCCATAACGTTAGATGAAATTACTCCTGTTTACAAACTGGCGTACTCAACCACTGGCTTTAGAAATATATATATTATACTCTAATATTAAACCTAAATTATAGCAGTTACGTGAACTACTGTATCTTCCCTGCTGCTTTGCTGAAGCGGTATTTTGTGTTCCGGCTAATCATTAAATGTCACGGAAAGCTGCACTACGCTAACATTCGTTAGCATGTAATGTTAGCTTACTGAGCTTGAAGCTAACGTTAGCCTAGCGAAAGGATGTTGACATTTCCCCATGGTGCGCTGCTAACCAGTCACATTGCCGCGGACAGCACTCATACTCGCACATTCAACAATCACACAAAATATGAGAAGATGAAAATAAAGGTACTAACTCCTGGGTCGGTTTGGGACCTCACCTCTTCACTCCCACTAGAGCTGTATCCAGCCTGACCAAGGGTATGGTGGCTCGCCTCTAGTCCAAGTAAGCGCAAGTGAGACTGGTCTTCGTTTAACGACAGGACCAGGTTTGCGGGCCTTGGCCCTCCGTTAGTCACATCATCAGCATCTGAGCCTGATCGTCCGAGTTGCCACCGTTTCTCTGAGCGCAAACGACTGCGTGACGACCAAGGCCGACCGGGGAAACGACCTCTGGCCGGAACGGTTCCACCTTGGCCTCCTACGGCAGCCGCGGTTGCTGATCCGCATCCCGCTGCCGCCATCATTGCTTCAACAACAACACACACACCGACGGCTAGCAGTTCGAGGAGAGACAAGAGGGAAGGCGCGAGATGGGAGGGGGAGCCGCAAAGCTGCAAGGGAAAGTGAGTTTTTAGGTGAGGCTCCAATTGGAAGAGGGTCGACCTTGTGGTGGTGATTGTACGTGAAAGGTCCATACAAAAATGTATACATAATATTTCATAACTATGACACTAACATAAATTCACTACAGTTGTTTTGATTATTAGTGTCCTTTTCACACATGATAATAGCCTACAGTAGATGGCAGTATGAATCTGTATTGCTGATGATGGAAAATGAAGAGGAAGAAGCAGAAATCGACTTCTATGAAATATAATTTACTTTTAAAATGTATGTTATTTCATATATATATTTTTTTTTTCCCCCTGCTGATGTAAAATTTATAAAAGAGAATAGCCTTGTCTTCTTCACTTATACATTAATGTTGGCAGGAAATAAATACTCTGTTAAAAATAAATTAGCATGTTGTTTTAAAAAATTAAAAACCAGTACTGGGTCTTGGTTTAGACCTCTTAATTGACACCATAGTTCATGTTTGATGAGAATTCTGTGTCTAGGCGATAGAAACGTACTCGTGTAGTGTGAAATGTATAAAAAGAAACTTGTGGACAGAAAGTGTGACAAAATAATCCCAATTTAAAATATTTTCTGAGCTTTCAACAAAACAAAACAAGTTTAGAAAAAAACACAATTTAAGGGGACGTTTTAAGTGAGATTGTTTGTCACATTGGAAGTTATGTGAAAAGAGACAGGCTTAAATTGGAGGGAAGTTGAGTATGCTATTCAAGGATTAGATAGATAGATAGATAGATAGATAGATAGATAGATAGATAGATAGATAGATAGATAGATAGATAGATAGATAGATAGACAGATACTTTATTAATCCTCTTTTCGCTACAGCAGCCTTTATGGTATAGGTAAAGCATAGAGTAAAGCATAGAGTAAAACATATAAAATATAAAATGAAAATATAAAAATGAAAATGCACAATATATACAATACAAATATTAAATATAAAATGCACAATATATACAGTGAAATAGAATAATATTAAAATTAACTAACTAAACAATAGTGCAAAGATTTAACCAAACAAACAACAGAGTAACTGTGTTGCAGTCGTGTGAATGATTTGGCCAGAGGTGATTTATTATAAAGTCTTATTGCAGTGGCCAGGAATGATCTCCTGTATCTGTCCTTGTGCCAGCGGAGCTGGATGAGTCTGTTGGAGAAAGTGCTCCGCTGTCTGTTGAAGATGAACATAAATGTACGGGAGGAAGGACGAATTTAGGAGTCAAAAACCCATGAAGGCGTTATGACACTACGGTACAGTAGGTGGCAGTATGCTGTGTAGGTTAACGGGTAAACAAAATAACAGACAAAGAAGAAAAACGAAGAAGAATACGATTGAGACGACGAAGAAGAAGGAGGAAGTGTGTGATTGTTTCTATTTAGTTAATTTGCGACGATTGTCCGACCCTTTGGCCTTACACATACCAGGTAGGTTAAAATACTACGTGAATGTGCAGTTTAGTTCCATATACATATTTTAACATAACATGATCTGAAGAGCGTAGTGAGTTACTGCTAGGTGTGTTTGCAGCAGTCGGAACAACCAAATGCTACATTGCTAAGCTAATGAAATGCTAACGTTAGCCTGAGGTCAATTTCAAGTCATCTGACTTCGTCTGCCAGCATTAGTAGGTTGCTTTATTGCTGGACTTGTACTCAATGTTCTTCCGATTGCTTTGTTTTAGTCTTGCCCAGACTACCAGACGATTGCACTTTAAACGGAGACACAAACAGCATCACCTTTGTCACAGACGTTGGTATTTGAGTTGATGTTTCGAGCTGATCCTGCACTCTTTTAACTTGTTTTTTCTTTCTGATGCAGGATCCACCAACAAACACAATGAATCTGGAACGAGTGCCCAATGAGGAGAAACTAACCCTATGCCGAAAATATTATTTAGGTGAGCATACTTTAAAAATGAATCAAGTTTGGATGCAAACATCTTTACATTATAGCTTACTTCCTTCCCTTTGGTTTGTACATTCTGAGCAAATGCAAGTAGTGTTAGAACCAGCCTCCATACGCTATATATTTATATTCAAATTATGTCATATAGTCTCATTTAGGTAAACATTTACGGGGAATCTTTTGTATTGTAAAGCACAAGTGATCTTGAATAGAGTTGCCTTAATATGAACCCAGCAGTATTGTCATTGATGATGTTTTTACCATCCTTTTTTCTCAGGTGGCTTTGCATTTCTGCCATTCCTGTGGCTGGTCAATGTAGTTTGGTTTTTTAAGGAGGCCTTTATGAAGCCAGTTTACACTGAACAGCTGCAGATCAAAACATGTAAGTGTCATAACTGCTACTTTAATACCAATAATACCATTTTTGTTCCATCATGGTCAAACTACTGTTCCCTTAAATCTTGGTAGTGTTGGGATGACTTTTCTAGGTGAGGAGAGCTTCCTAAGCAGCGTTGGAATAGATTATATGTTTGCTTTTTATATAAAACTTGTATTAATATAATTATTGCATCCACATAAATGAGATCTAAATACATAAGAATGTAGATTTAGGTTTTAAACAGTAGGATTTCATTTTAGGAAAACACTCAGTATGTGATTTGAGAATTATCACAATATTAATTTGATTCATTCTCACGCTTAAACCTATAAAGTAGGACAACATATGCATCACAAATTTCAGGCTAGATGACATTAACAAACATTTACTCTTGAACTTTGTTAAAACAAACAAGACGGTGAATGTCTCTGTGATTAGTTTTTACTGTTTGAAGAACGTTTCCCCATATCAATGTGAGCCAGTACTGATACTTTTGATTTAGAACACGTGTTGTACTATTTAAAAAAAAACAAAAAAAAAAAACATTTTCAAATACTATATTTGCAATATTCTGAGCTTTATTTTTATTGATTTTTAAAGAAAGCTTCAGGTAGATGCTAGGGCATCACATGGTATACCAGTGTGTTCATTGTTTTCATGCAAAGTAATTGTCTCTTGTGTGTTTTTCCTCTAGATGTGAAGCGGTCAGCACTGGGTTTGTTGTTCTGGGTAACAGTACTGACCACATGGATCACTATTTTCCAGCGCTTCAGAGCTGAGTGGGGGGAGGTGGGAGATTACCTCTCCTTCACAATTCCACTAGGAATTCCTTGAAACTTTTCTATGTCTTTTGAAAATAACTAATGATCCACTATAAAAGGACCAGAGAGTGTTTCTTCTTTAACTACAGTGAAAGATTCTGATGAATTGTCTGGTCTCTGGAGGTAAATTTAATGGCTGATCCACGTTGAAATATAAATGGTCTAGGATTCGAAAAGTCATGTTTCTTTTTTTGTGCTTGCCAGGGCATTTCAGAAAGTTCTTTGAGTTTCTTTTTTTTTTTTTTTTTTAAGAGTAAGCTAATTAATCCTGTTTACAGTCATGAAATAATCTAACAGTATCTAATAATTAAGTTGGATGTGCATTCCAATTTGTTCAGGACATTGAACATTAGATTCAACAATGTTTTTTTCTTTTTGTGGAATTTAATATTTGTGTGATTGTGCACCCCAAACTGTTTGTACTTGTATGACTGACAAATAAAAAAAAAACATCCATAATGCGTCCGAGTTTTTATGTTTTCATGTCTTGTATTTCCCAAGGCAAGTTCATTCTCATGTTGGAACATCACTGCCCCTCTAGGATCAATGAATCTGTATTGGCTTTTTGTTTTTGGTGACTCACTGGTGAGCTATCGTCTCCATATATACTCCTGATACTTTGCGTTGTTACAGAGGCTCCTAAAGTCTGGACAATTACTGAATGTTGTGAAACCCAATAACTTAATCCCTCCGAATGTCGCCACTTCCCTATCATCCAATATGAGTCATAACATAATCAGTGCCATTTTTAGTCACTCCAGTCCAGTCAAAGCTTTGGTGACAGGTTTTACATTACCAACAGGGAGAACATGTGCCCGCGGTATAAACTGCTGACTTCACTAGAGTGTGCCAATAACAAGTCGGTAGTGTCAACACGAACGGTTCTTTTATGATGCAAGGAGTCCCTTAATAAAACTGATTTATGGGGAGTAAACTAAAAGTCCTTTTATGGACTTTGTACGTTGTTTCAATGTGTTTTGTGTGTGTACTGAGTGAAGATATGGGAAGTAACTAAGTACATTTTATTGTACTTTAAATACACTTTTGAGGCACTTTCATTAATGTTACATTTTTCAGAGGTAAACATTGTACTTTTTACTTTAACCACTGCATTAAAATGATACTTATAAAACACAATATTACAACACTCCCAGGTCAAAATGTTCTGCTTTTGATACACACACGTTTAGCTTTAAGCTTCTTAATTGTTGAATGCAGGACTTTTACTCGAGATGGAGTGTTTTTATATTGAGGCATTGCTACTCCTACTTAAGTACATCATTTGAAGAGTTGAAGCATCACTGTTCCAGTAGTGATGGAGGGGGGAAGCGCACGTGCTCTGGCATGTGTTAGGGACGTCGCTGCTGTCACTGTCTGTCTGACATCAGCTTACGAGTGTCACAACATCCCTTTTGAACTTATTTTTGGATAGACCTTCCTTGACAACCGACCTTATGTATATATTTCGCAACAGGTCTTATAATAAACCGTAAACAGTCTGTTTGTATCGGTGCCACCAACCCTCGGTATAAGCTGCGGGCTAAAACATTGGCAAAAGCTAATAAACACGTTAATTGCCATTAAGCTCGCAACAGCTGTGCCGCTCCCAAAACAATACACTCTCTTCCTATATAGCCCTGCCTGAACACCCAAGGGTACGCATCCGGAACATAACAGAGGCAAGGTGCCCCGATGTGAATTCCCAGCTTATTATGCAACTCCAGTATAAAACACAGCGTGACGGTCAGCCACGTCAGAGCTAGGAGTCAGACAGACGCACCATCGGTACTCACTGCACAAACTTTTAGGTCTTGAGACAAGCGGAGGACACGAGCAGTGAAACAGGGCCAGTCCTTTTGCTCACTTATTTGATCAGGAAATTGAGGAAGAGGTAAGTTGTGGCCGTTGTTGTATTCCTTATAGTGTTGCAAGCTGTGTCCTCAACTGCTGTCAAGTCAATTTTTTCCCCTTTACTTATTAGAAATGGACTTCATCCTGCCATCCACTCTTCCAGCTGGAGGTATCCCATGGCAGAAGGTTATACCACCTCTTATTCCTCTGCTGAATGGGACTTACGGACAATGTAATTGGTCCCCGAAATTACTGATTCCAGATACTGATAATACCAGCTCTGCAGAGGTAGGTCATTTCACTATATAATAGGTATGTTAAAAAGGTGATTGCATTTATTTTGGTTCAATAAAACTGCATAAAAACATAAAACAGTCAGTGATATCAAATAACCTTTTACCAGGGTAACTTTAAACAGGAATTTCCCTCATTTTTTTAATTGGGGAAAAGAAAATTTGATTAAATTTAAAAAAGAAATTGTATATATACATACAGAGAGAGATAAAAACAAAGACTCAAGGTCCACCTCATAGCTCTTTCAAGTTCATCTTACAGTCATAATCAGATGAAAACCCTGAGATGCAGTTGAAAGCCCCCCAGAAGAACATTTCTGTCAAACTACTGTTTCCAAGGTCAATGATGGACTTTGATGGATATTTATTAAGAGTATGATGGCAAATAGGAATTTGTTGGCTATTTGCTGTGCTTCGAGGTATTTTATTTCTATATAATATACAGCATTTACTTTTGTGTTGGTAGGTGAACTGTGATGACAGTGGTTTCACAGTTCAAGTTGATGTCAAGCACTTCAACCCAGAAGAGCTGATGGTCAAAGTGATAGGAGACTTTGTGGAAGTGCAGGGAAAGCATGAAGAAAAAAAGGTTGGTATTCTAGGAGGGATATTACTGTATTTCTTTTAGTTTATTTACAATAGCTATGATTTGTCTTATTCTCTACACTTGTATTTCATAGGATGGTTCAGGGGTTACAACACGGCAGTTTAACCGCCGCTACCGAATCCCAAAGGGAGTGGACACCATGGCGTTGGAATCAGCGGTCTCTCCAGGTGGCATCCTTATCATATCTGCACCGATGCGGCGAACAGAGGACTCCAGAATCCTGACCTAATCCCATTAAAACCAACCACTCAAATCGCTGCCATCTTCACCACATATGAAAACAAGTGCATACAGAAATAACTTCAGGCCCCTTCAGTCACAGCAACACGCAGCATGTGCCAAAACACCCATTTGTTCTGTTCCCTGCCCCTGTGAGGTTTGTATATACTGCTCTTCTATTACTCATCAATCTTACATGATGTTTCAAGGAACCAGTCTTTGTAAATATTCTGCGTTCGAAAGTTCAAACTGTGTGCAAGTTTTGTAAAATGCACTGTATTGTGATTGTGATTAATAATGCACGCAAACATATCGCCAAACTCTTTAATGTGGAAATACTTCTTGAAAAATAAAATTTATTTCTTTATAAAATAAAAAAAGACTACATCAAGTGCCTCTTGTGAATGGTGAAGTAACTTGTTGCTCGTCCAGGAATTCATTCAAGATAGAGTCCACTTCACTAAAAGGAAAAATACAGAAGATTATTTTTCTGGAATTTGGGGTGCTGTGTTTAAGGATTCAAATAACATTATTACAGCTACAATTCTTAGGATTTCAAGATGAATGGCCTTCTGGGAACATCCTTTACATAAATGACGACCAAACATTCGGCTCGCTGAACCATTTAATCGATCGGTTATTATTTTACCTGATCTGCTCCTTTACCCATTTCCTCTGCTTGCGAAGGACTTGTAATAAAGGGTCGTCTTCAAACTCTTTTTCATCTGAATCTGAAAAAAGGAAAAAATAGTAACTAAGAAAGTTGATAATGGAATATGCTCAGCATGTACACACAGCAGATCAATACTATAAGTTATTGTTTTCTTGTTTAAATCCTTGAAAGGCAGTATGAAGTTATGAATACTGTGAAATTCAACATGGATCACAAATGTTACAGCATTCGCAAAAAAAAAAAATAGAGAAAGCTCTTGTGGTTTTAACTTAAGTTGTGGCTATATGTTGGGAATAGAAACTATTCATGGGTCAGAAATAATCCCCACGATTAACTCCAGGGTAAAGATTGGTGCTCTTTGCTGCCATAGGCTCACCTTCAGCTTCCTGCAGCAGCTGTGAAATGACCTCCATGGAGTTCTGTGCGTTGCATGGAGGAACTGAGGATTGTGGAGGTGGAGAGGCAGTGCAAGGAGGAGAAACCGACGTGACAGGGGTCCTTTGTGTAGGAGATGGATCCACCGAGGGAAACAACACCTCTGAAACTACCTGTCAAGGCCCAAATGAGAACACCCTACAGATTAATGCAGCTTTTGATAACCATAATAACACTATACAGCACCAAAATGATGATGTATGACATCCAAACAACACAAAGTGTGCAGAGCGATGGCCGCACAATTCAAGATTTGTGGTAAATAGAGTATTTAAAGAATTCCTCTCATCTCATTCTAACATGGTTAGACATGAACACCTGACCTGCGTATCTTAAATTATTTGATACGACAATGACTCACACACAGTCTATCTCGTGAAGACAACTACTCAAATATGGGTGTTATGAATCCTCACAAACTACTGTATTTTAAACAGCAACACACAAATAATTCAGTTCATCACTTATACTGCTGGCAAGTTATGAAGATATTCTGACAGTGGGGAAAACATTAAGACGAAATATGCAACCAGCTTTCATGAAGCGCTTGTGTTAATCACACTACTTAGAGAGCATTAAAGGAAACAACTCGAGAACCTGTCCTAAGGCACTGTGGATTGGAGAAGGGGGCGGTGCCTGATCGCCAGTAGAGCTCTCACTGGAAAACCCCTGGCTTCCTTCCTGTTGCCGCTGCTCTGCCCATGGCAGGACTATTTTGGGAATGTTTTGATGTGAGAAATTCCTGTTTGTAGGACCAGGGCCATCATCATGTTCCCTATCCACAGTATATCTGCAAGAATACATGTATTAGGGCATTCAGACATGATTTTGTTTTTACTCAGTGTGCATGTTTCAAGACTATACCTTGTGGATTTCTTCTGCTTTCTGAAGGACGGTGCTGTCTTCTTCTCATTCTTCTCTTTCTTGTTCCTCTCAGACCTTTTGTGGCGAATAAGCTCCGCTCTTCCTATAGCTCCAGATGATGCAGGTGGGGATGGCATACGCTCACGACTACGTCCATCAGTGAAAGTATTCATTGAGTTTCCAGGGACTTGGGTCTTTTCACAGACAACTTTGGTCTGAGACTCATCTATACTTTCTGAAAGGTGTTGATGCGTGCTAGCGCGAGATGACTGGATGGGACACGGCAAGACGTCACAGAGTAAATGCATGTGGGCAGGCACATGGGCAATGGCCTGTGGTTGAGAAATTGAAGAGCCAGAGACAACAAAGGCAGGGAAGGGAGTTGGATCCGAAGCTTGGGGACATGATCCGTGGGCTTCTTTGGTTTGTGGCCGGTGTGCAGGGATGTGCGGACGTGTAGATTTTTGTGAGAATTCAGGAGGCTGAGTAATCTGGTGTTGCTAGAGATAATGCAAGAAAGAGGAATATAAAATAATTCTGGAAATCTATTAAACAAAACATATGGAGTATATATTAGATATTTTGACTCCAACCTTGTAAGCCTGTCCACTGGCAGAGGGATGGCTTGAACTGGGCGCCTGCCAGCTAAATGTGGGACCATGAAGACTGGAGTGTTGCAGGGACTGCGACCCCTCCCTGGCCTGCTCCATCTTTCTCCTTAAACGCCACTGGAACAAGATGTCCTCTTCCCGGCGTGTGGGGGGTGCCAGAGGAGGAACGACAGAGGAACTGGGAATCAAAGGTCGTCGCACTGGCTCATATACGCTGACTGGAGAAGAGAAATCTGAGCATTCCAGGCCCTCTGAGCTGACAGGGATAGATCCATCACTCGGAGAACATTCCCTGTTAGAAAGAAAAAAAAAAAGTTACTTACATTGAAGCAATACATTCATTGATCATTAATGTTACTCGTTGGTCTTCATACCCTCTCAGCAGAAGTCTGCCAGCCTTTTCTTGAAGGTGTTGTATATCTGTGTCATCAAATTCACCGTGAGAGATGTCTGACAACATCTGAGAAACAAGCAGAGCAGACAGAACAATGAACAAGCCACAATTTTGCTCTTGATATTTCAATAATAAGAATACTCAATACGGTGTAACTGTATAAAACTAGACAATTCAATTTGCAGCATTTGAGTAAAAACAATCTGATCAGTCACATTGTCTGGCTACATATTGCTCACATACTGAGCGTATACTGAGGTCCTTTTATAATGTTGTGGGGGTAAACATTTGACACAAGCAGGTTGAACAAGCCATGAATGTAGAAAACACGGCTGCATAAACAATGGCTTCTCGGGCATTTAGTAAACACAGAGATTTCCAAATGGACATGTGGTGTGGTGTTGAAATGCAAATATTTATATGCACACGTCTCTGCTGCAGACATTCTGCTTCCCAGGTATTCAGACAAAGCTGGCATAAACCAGGGCAGGATGCAGACCCAATAATCCATTATAATAGCACACACAACAAATAAAAAACAAGATGGAACAGTATCTGGTGTTTTTTTTTTTACTTTTTAAAGAAATAAATATGCATTCATAGGTAATTTCCTCCAAACAATGCACAAGTTATTTCTATTTAGTAGAGAAAGATATTAACAGGCTATATTGTGGCTCAATCCCAGTAAACTTACAAATGCACTCACACTGAGGGATCCTCTGCATGGGGAAAGGGATCTGTCATGTCGATGCTGCCCAGCTGGACTGAAAATGGCGAGTCCGTGGTCCTCTTTCAGAGGCTGGATACTGTCTGTGCAGAGGAAGAGATTCAACAGAAGGATTTTACCAGCAAGGTTGCTTTTCACATTGAAATCAAGGGGCTGGTGGTGACAGTTAATAACCCCATACATTAAAAAAACACAGTAAGTGAGAATGCACCTTTGTCTGTTGTTTTAGTGGGTGTTGAACTGCAGGGTAAAGATGAGGGTGATATCCACCAAAAGGGCTGCTGCTTCTCTCCATCGGCAGAAGGGCTCTGCTGGCGCTCCTGACGACTCTGCGGTTGGCCGTGGCGAAAGCGATCTATGTACCTAGGAGAGCAGAGTCTTTTCAGTGCGATAAAAAGTTCAAGAGGATTACTTAGGCACTTACGGCATAGGCACGGCTACATGTGAGGGTATGGTCTCTAGACTCTATGAAACTAAAACATACTTTGCCAGCACTGAATCTTGCTGAACTCCTGGCTCTGAGGAATCTGCGGGTTTCCCTGCTCTCGCAGACTGGGGTTTGGGTGTCTCCATGTCAGATGAGGTTGTAGCGCTGGAAGGAGACAATCCACACTCGGTGGAGGGCCAGGACTCTGCAAACACCGGTTGTCCATCCGTGGCAGCAAAACGTTGTTGACGTTGCTCAAACAGCTGTTGGGTCTCCGGGCACAGAGTCTGTAGTCGTGAACTGGATCGCGGGTTTGAACGTACAGGACTTAAAGTCTGCAAAAGAACAACAAAATGTATATGTTTGCCTTGGCTGGATGGAAAGCAACATAAGAATCAAACATGTCTTGCTGTGTATAAAGTTTACTTAAAAACATACCGTGTTGTTGTTTTTCTTTGATAGGGACTGGTTACAGGATGGGTGGTAGTATCCCTTGCCCCCTCTGCTCAGTTGAAAGGGATTTTGCCTGGAAAACACAGGACTACTGTAAAAAACAACACACGTATGAATGACAGTAACTATTGTAAGGTACTATAAAATACAATCTTAAAATATTACCTGGATTTCATTACAGCTTTAGAACATCACAGGTGACGACGGGATGTGCTTCACTGTGCGTCTGATTTATGTCTGGCCCCAACTAAGGTCTTTGACAATAAATTATAGTTGGATCAGCATGGATGGCTGACTGTGTTACTCAAGCATACCATAATATAACAGTTTATTTAGAAAGAGGAAGACCACATCACCCACCGGTCTTCAGAGTTGACTTGGCATGTCCACAAAAGTAAGTTACCATGGAGTCAAACGCCAGTAAGACATAAATTGTCCATAAAATAGCACATGACGATGCCTCAGGGGACACTTAGACGATCTATTAATCAAACGAGTCCAACTTTGAAACTGAAAACATAATTACTATGCTCTTTTTGACAAATATAATATGATCGATGAAACCAGAAGAAAGAGTCCCTGTTTATGCCGATCGTTATTTACTACAAGACTTGTAGCCAATAGGAAGCGAGTTTAATGTGATGGACGTAAAAGGTAACCAATCACGAGGAATGTCCTCGCAGCAAAAGCGCCAATCGGGTCATAGGAAACCGACAGCGCGCGGAAGAGGAAAGTCTGCAGTATGCGTTGATCAGATCAAAAAAACATGCTAAGTTAGCAACGGTAATTTAAGATAGCAAGTGGCTACGGTCCGATACAAAATAAAACGTCCAGTTTGCAGTTTATTTCCATGTATTTTTTGTATTGAAATGGCTGTGGGTTACATTTAGTCAGCTAATCGCTATAATAGGTAAACAGGCTTGTAAACTAACGTTAGCTTTAACGTTATCCAATGGTCACTGCTAACGCAGAAGGTGGCTAACTAATCGGCCTAAACCTAACAGCTAACTAGCTACGTTCTCTAACGTTAGTATCAAATGTCGGTTTCCTACAGTGAACTTGTGGTTATATAATTCGCCATTTTCCCAAATTAACGCTAACGTTACCTAGAAGTTCTAGAAAGTTGGAGATAATGCACCACGTCAAGATAAAGACTGAAAGGCCAGGTGAGTAACGTTAACATTATTACATTTTCACCCCAAGGTTAATTAGATTTCCTAAACGGGCATTGTATTTGGTTAGGAACTATTCACATTTAGTAATAAAGTATGCATTTGTAAGTAACGTTATTCCTGTTTACTACTTTTGTCATTACTTGCAGACGCAGAGGGGCCTGGTGCACGCAACAGATTGGATGCAGTGTTAAAGGGACTGGTGGAGAGGAGTGAAAGTGAAAGGTTGGTAAAACGTTAAAGTTTGACACTCATCTAGTCATTTTGATTACTTTGCTATTAGACTCATATCGTTGTGTTTTTTTAACAGGGAGCAAAATGAGGGTGATACTGGAAAAATATCAGCGGACTCCTTAAACAAGTATGGATCAACGATTTGGATCTGATATGTATTTGTTAAATGTTGCAGAATGTATGATACACTGCAGGTGGTGCTGTGAAATGTATGAATATCTGATATATTTACACCACATTGAATATAAAGTGCAAAAGCTTGTTTTTAGATGTCATGTTTCACTTGCTTTATTTAGGGATTTGTCACCATCATCTGCTGGAAAAAGGCAAGTGTCTATTTTTCAACTGAGCTGTGTATGTCTGCACAACATAAGAGATTTAAAAAGCTGTAACGTTTGGGATTTTTTTTTTCTAAGTTTCCATCCTTGTTTTGATTTTTCCAGGCCGTCAGCTCGATTTCCACAGCACCGGAGGAAGAAGCGTAAAGAGATGGACGAGGGCCTACCAGAGAGTAATCAACACAAACAAAGTAAACTGAATATGCAAATTTTGAAAACAATTCAGGAAGAAATTCCACTGCAGTGAACATCCTTTTTTGCTTTCAGTGTGGTCCCTTTGCCTTTAACTTCATTGTACAATTTCTTACCCTTTCTTTGTCTTCCCATTTTTTGTCTTTCTCCACTTGTTAGATGCTTACATTATTAAGTTGTTTGATCGCAGTGTGGATCTGGCTCAGTTCAACACCAGCACACCACTGTATCCTATCTGCCGTGCCTGGATGAGAAACAATCCTTCTGTTCGAGTGCTGCCTGCTTCCCCAAGCCCCCCACACATTATGGTGGAGGAAGAGGTGAGGCCATACAGTTATGTCATCACTTTTCTATGCAAACATCACCATTAAGTACACAAAGTAAAGTATAACGTCAAATGTTTTTTTTTAGAATGGTGTTTTTTTTTAAAGTATCTAGCTTTACAAAGTATGGAAGCTATTATTGTGGCCAAAAGTATTATGCTAAACAATATTATATTGATATTTCATCAACTGAATTATTGAAAATACAGCACATTGTCTTTTTTACACATCTGTATATGCTTTAATATATTTGTCTGATTTCTTTGATTAAAAGTATCTATAAACGGCTAAATGTTTGTATGACAAAGCCTTGTATTGATGGTCTGTGGTAACAGTGGCTCTTAAAGCCACTAGCGCTTCTCTGCCTCTGTCTGACCAGTATAAGGGTGCTCTCTTGTGGCAAAGCAATATACAAATACTAATGTCTTTGGAATTTACTTTTAGATAAAGTATTTAACAGAGTACTTAAAGTACAAAAGTATTAGGAATTTCTTAGCCCTACAGATGCCGTTATGCCATCATTTTGACAAAGTGGCTGTTCAACTTCATTCCTTACTCGAATTGTCTTTTTTTTTTTTTGCCAGCCTACAGACTTGATCAATGGTAAAGGCCAGAATGTGTACAGACTCCCTCCTCCAACCTCCTGTCCAATCAACACCTCCGGTGAACCTGTCAATCTCAGGATCCCACAGACTGAGAAACCCACTGTTAACAAGGTTCTGTACATTATATGCAAGAGAATTATTGATGGTGTTTTACTTGCATAGGGATAATAAATGAAACGCATTAACATCAAATTAAATATTTAAAAGTGAACTAATGATTTATAATTTAAATATTGTTATAATTAACTAAATCTGAACCGTTTCTCTTTCCACAGTTGACAGATCCCCTTCCTGTAACAGGTTCTCTCATATGTGACCACATGGAACGTTGGAAAAAGATAAGGCAAAAGTATGTTCTTTTATTGAAAATAATGACTCACATTTTCATTGACTTTTGTACTGTAAACAACCCACCTTGAGGTCAGGGTTTACCCATGGGTGTTCTTGTGTCACTTGCTGATATGATGTCCGGTCATGATGTACAATTTATGTGAACGTGTTTGCAAGTTAGATTTTTGGAAGAATACTGAAACATCCAAAAGTTTGGAACGAGTTGAGCTGACGCATGTTGGTCTTTTTTCCTAGATGGAAGGAGTGCTCTAGCAAGAACCAGTTAAGATACAGCGAGAGTATCAGGGTTCTTAAGGAGATGAAGGAGCTCTATGATCGCTGACTGGCTTGTACTGTGGCTCTCCACCACAGAATGGACTCCAAGCAGTAGTAAAGGAGCCATGGTATATAGCAGTCAATGTTTGAGCACACCTGCTACGTAATCAGACTCACAGGAAAGCATGAACATAACTGTGAACCTTAAATATACCATGTGTCCTATGCATTGCAGAAGAAATATTCTACAGGATTGTTACGTTTTTAGAAATTTCTTGTGCAGGAATTAGTTCCAGTTTGATGTAGGACTGTTTTATTAATAAAAATTCTTTGTAGATGTCTGATTAAACTAATCAGTTTTCCAGACACACTGCCTCCCTCCTTCCTGTGGTATCCTCAACATTAGCCAGACTAATTAAAGTCCATAGTGGTTTCAACCACTTTCAGGTTTGCTGTATTCATCACACAAGTACTGGAGAACACAGCAACCTAGAGTAGCCAGAATTACATTTGATATTCAATATGACGTTCTTTTAAAATGCATGTGTTGCAATATTGCTGACTTGGTGGGGAGTTACTGGAAGTTAAATGGTGAGCAAGTATTTAAGCAATAACACATTTGTCAACTACAGCACATTTTGATTGAGGCAGAAGTGCTGACAGTTGTTTGATCAAGATGACATACACACCAGATGAAGAGTGAAGGAATTGTTTGCCTTTTTAGGTACACAGTTGGGCGTGGTCTACTCTACGTCTGTGATCCATTGACATTTGTAGGTCTGCAGCATTGCCCATTGAAAGGAACTGTTCCGTAGTATGTGCTCTATTGGTTTACAAAGAGTTAACTTCAGAACAGAGACCTTTTGAATTTCAAGTGCCAATGAAGGGCACCATTTGGATATGAGAAATATAAAATTTGAAAGATTACATTTAAAAAGGACTTTTCTTCTAGGTTTGTCTTCTCATCAGTTAGGTGTCGGGTGATACTCAATGCACAAGACCCAGAATAAATGCAGGCCAGAGGGGATGGAGCATTTTGTTTTTGTTAATACATAAATCAAATCAATAAATGAAAAGGCAAGGGAAATAAACAATGTGGGGCTAGACTGTACATCAGGGAGTTTATTATAGCGATATGTGTAAAACATAGATTATACCAAAATATGTTGGCAAATTAAAATTATACCACTGCTACACACATCCCAATTTACACCAAATCAAAACACTCAAGTTAAAACACAGCAACCTAAGGTAGCTCAAACAACACAATAACTCACACATACAAGATGGCTACTCAACTACTCAGCGTCCCTTTAATACAGCTGAAAGCCCCACAAGAAAAAATAAAATAGAAATTGTCCCCTTAAGTTGATTGGTTGAAGGCACACTAAAATAGAACAGGTCTGGGCAAAGCACTGGTTGGCTCCTTTAATGTCTTGGATTGATTAAAAACTAAAAGACACTGGAGCACAATAATATACGAAAGGAAGAAACATTTTACTAAACATATGTAATGATAAATAATATACCTTGCCAGACTGGAACAATCTCCTCCCCCAGTGAGATAGATGTAGGTGACAGAATTTTTAAAGAACCATGTTAATATTGTATTAAAAGGACTAAGAACTATGTTAAAACAGCTCTGATCTGCTTGAGCTTACCTTATTTCTCAGCTGTTGTGCCTCAGCAATGACTCCCAAGTTGTAGTCCCTCACCAAACAGGAATAATCTAACAAATAACACATTCTTTGTAATAATTATTTAACAAATCATTAATTTCGTACTATAAAATTAACAATATGTCTTTTGGCTCATATATGAGCTAACATAAATATTGTATGGTGAAACAATTTCACTAGTAAAATCATGCTTTCAAGATTTTTTCTAAGGGATCCTACCAAATCAAACACCAATTAAAGGCTGGCCTCAGGTTTGTGTCAGGTAAGATTCTGGTGGTTCATTTTCATAGACTGTTCCTTTCTTAAGTCCTTCCTGGGTCCTAGTGCTAGACTTTTATGAGTTTCCTATCAACAATTAATTCAAATTTTCGTCAAGAATGCATAATAGAGGAGTCAGTGCTGTTGTGATATCAGAAGGTTTTATGTTTCAAATTGAGGAACGCATACAAAGTGTCCTTATGTGCACAAGATAGTTAATGAGTAGGAACCATCCCAGTTCATT